GGGGTGCGCCAGAATGGGCATGGATGGCGCGTGCGGGCGGTGGCACCGGGGCCTTCGTTAGAGCTCTCTATAGGGCCGCGAGGGGTGTGACAAAATGGAGATGGGTGGCGCATGCGGGCGTTGGCACTGGCGCCGTCGGTGGAGATCCCTATGGTTCATGAAACGCGTGAAGTGTGTGTGTGTGTGTGCCGAAATCGGCGTGGGCGACGCGTGCGGGCGGTGGCACTGGGGCTTTCATTGGAGCTCCCTACGGGGCCACGAAACGTGTGAGGAGTGTGCCAAAATGGGCGCGGGTGACGCATGCGGGCGGCGACACTGGTGGAGCTCCCTATGGGGCCACGAAGCGTGTGAGATGTGTGCCGAAATGAATGCGGGTGGCGCGTGCGGGCAGTGGCTCTGTGGCCTTCCGTGACGCTCCCTGTGGGGCCACGGTGTGCCGAAATGGGTGTGGGTGCATGTGGGCGGTGGCACTGGGGAATCGGGTGGAACTCCCAATGGGGCCACGGTGTGCCGAAATGGGTGTGGGTGACGCATGTGGGCGGTGGCACTGGGGCATTCGGTGGAGCTCCCTATGGGGCCACGAAGCGTGTGATGGGTGGGTGCGGGTGACGTATGCGGGCGGTGGCGCTGGGGCATCGGGTGGAACTCCCTATGGGGCCGCGAAGCGTGTGAGGGGTGTGCGGACATGGGTGTGGGTGACGCATCTGGGCGGTGGCACTGGGGCGTCCGGTGGAGCTCCCTATGGGACCACGAAGCGCGTGAACGAAACGTGCGAAGGGTGTGCCGAGATGGGTGTGGGTGACGCATGCGGACGGTAGCACTGGGGCCTTCGGTAGAACTCCCTATGGGGCCACGGAGCGCTGTACTGCGCGGGTGGGACGCAGGGAGGAAGGAGGGGGGGGAGGAGGAGGGAGGAGGGATGAGGGGGAGGAGGAGTGGGTGAGTGAAGCGGGGCGCTGTCTCTTCAAAACCAAGAACCAACACCACAGGATGGTTGGGCACAAACATCAGCAAATCTCCAAGCCTGATCAAAACAAAAATCGAATACCGCCCCGGCCGACCGCGATGACGTTCTTCGCAGAGTTGAAGCTGCCCGGCCACCATTTCAAGGCTTCCAAGTTAATGGACACGTCCAGGACGTCGCAGCAAAGAGCCGTCTCGAAGATCTTCGAAAACTCGAAGTGGTTCGAGACCACCACGACGTCCAGGCCAAGGCGGATGACATACCTCCACTGGACGTGATGGCCGAGTGCGCTGCCGCCGTTCTCAAGCATGAGCGCCGCCACCCAATGCACTGTGCGGGGTCCTGGCACGACCCAGTCGGGCCAGTCCACGGCCCGCAGCAACGCCACCAACGACGCGAAGGAGCCACAGCGCTTGCCATTGATGGCGCACTGCGCCGCGAGCGCGCTGCAATCGCCAGAGACCCCATCTCCGCTTCCATCCGCACCAGCGACATGAGCAGGTCCAGCTTCCCCAGCCAGCGCGACAGCCAGCCCAGCTGCGCCGTCGGCAGCGGCGGCGGCTGCGGGCGCGCCCGCGGCGCAGGCCGCCACGGCGGCCATCTAGGCTTGGGGGGCACACGCCAGGCCTCCGCCAGCTCCGCCCGGCGCCTCCGACAGCAGCTCCTCCTGCGACTGCCACAGCAACGTCTGCGCCGCCTCCTCCGGCCAGCAGCGTCGCCAGCCCTCTAGCAGCTCCTCCTGCGACAGCGATCCCGCCTCCACCTCCTCTAACTCCTGGAGGGGGGAACGCCCCCCGCCGCGGCTGCAACTGGAGGCCCCGCGGGCCCGACACCGCCTGCGGCCACCGCCCAGCAGCGACACCAAAAGCCTCAGCATGGGCCGCCAAGCGGAAGCGCCTGCTGCGCGAAACCGTGCAGCTCAGCGGGCGTGAGCGGCACCGCGATGTCACCGTCTTCGCGGACGAGCACCCGCCCAGGCCCGACACAGTACCAATGGCGAGCGTCATCGATGTCGTCGCTGAGCCGATCGATAAACAGGTCGTGATCGGACGAAACCACCGCCGCGTGAAACGACTCGAACCCCGGGGCGCCCACGACGACACGCGCATGGAACAGCGGACCGCCTGGCAGGTCGCACTCGACGTGGATCTCTTCGCCACTGACAGGCGTCAGACGCCCACGACCACTTGGCACCAGCCAGTCGCCGCCGTACAGCCCAGCAGCCGCCTCAGCCGCTGGCTCCAGTGCAGGGTCATTCCTGCGCGTCTGGCCGCACCAGCGGCCCGCCTGGCCGCGCGCCGCGGCCCAGCAGCGAGAAACCCGCGCTCAGAGCAGCAGCGTCACGAGGCCGAGCGAGACCTCGAAACCCCAAGAGAACTCGTTTTCGACCGTCTCGGGGCACGCCAGGCAAGGGTCGGGGCAGACCACCACGGGCGCCGGCGGCGCCGCAGACCTCCAACTCCACGCAAACCTCCGAGGCCAACGCGGACGTCGGCGGCCAGGCCGCCGGGCAGCTCCGCGGTGGCGAAGCTGGCGGGGGCACCGCGGCAAGCGGCGCCGAAGGTGCCAACGTCGCGGCCGGCGGGACCACAGGACGGTGGGCGCCACACCACCGGCCGTGCAACGCGGAGCCCACGTGGAAGGCCAACAGCTCCGCGCCGCGGGACCCGTGGCGCGTCCAGGACGCAGGCGAACTCGGCGAGCGCGCGACCTCCTACGACAAAGGCTTGACTGCGATTATTGCGCGGCCAAAAAATACCAATCAATATGCATCAATATATCTTCCTGGCGTTCCATAGTCATCAACATCTCCGTCATCACCGTTGTCGCCCTCAGCATCACCGTCCTCGTCCTCATCAACACCACCTTCATCATCACCTCATGACTACCCCTCTCATCGTCATCAACAGTGTCGTCGTCATCGTCATTTGATGAATTGTGGGGGGGCCCCCCGCCCTCTGCCTTCACCCCCCACACCCTCTCCCACATGCACATCATCAGCATCACCATCATCATCTTCATCATCTTCATCATTATCAGCATTATCAACAAGACAACCAGAAACAACATCAGCACCATTACCACCAGCATCGCCATCACCACCGTCACCCAACATCGTCACCAATTCATCGCCACCATTATACAAAAACGCAGGTACTGGCACACCCGTATGAAAAAAAAAGAAAGTCTGGGGCGGGAGCCCCATCTGCGCATGAAGCGCGACGATATCCGAGGCGGTTTCCCCCACCCTATGGGACCGCACCTCGAGGTGTTGTTCGGAGGTGTCATTCAAATCCTGTTGCTGTCATCGATGGTGGACCTTTGGGGCGCGAGTACGGAAAAGGTCTCGCGAGCGGGGGGCCCGTGTGTGAGTGACTCGTTTGGAAGTCTCACTCGGGATCCCCCTCCAGAAAGGATCCTCCGTTCACGCGTTTACTCCGAAGGGGTCATACCAACATCGTAAACGTCGGCAACTTTAGACCATTGGGGCGCGAATGCGGTAAAAACCCTGGGATCGAACATCATATGGGAGTGACTTGCACAGACTCCTCACACGGATACCTTTTCCATATGGGGCCCGCCGCACCCTATGCTTCCGAACATAAGGGGGGGGGCATCAAAAACTTGTGAATGTCGTCATTTGGGGACCCTGGGTCGTGAATGTGGAGGGGATCTCGAGTGGGGGTTTCGTTTATAAGTGGTTTGCAAGCGGATGCGCACCCCGTGCGTATTTGTTGTAATCCGTAACAAGCAATCTAGACCTTGTCGTTGTCGTCACTGTTAGGCCCTTGGGGCGTACACGGGGAGGAATTCCCGACCGGGGGGGGGTTGTCTGCAAGTGAACCGCGGAAAAAAATCTCAGGCGGGAGGGCCTCCCCAACGGGTTCCGCAGTTCATGTTTTTCCTCCAGAGGGGGTCATCCAAACCGTGTAGCCGTCGTCACTTTGGGGTCCGATGGCCTGACTCGGGGGGAAATCTCGGACAGGGAACTCATTTGTGCGCGAACGGCGAAAAAGTCTCTAGCGGGAATCCCATCTATACGGGGTCCCCACCTCCACGTTCGAATTCGACTGAAGTAATGGTTCAGTCCCCCCCCAAAGCCTTCATCCCGAGGGTGTCTCGAGCGGGGCCCCGTCGTGTCATAAACCGCTAGCGACGGGCCCACCTGCGAGGGCGCTGATATTGATCATGTTCAAGCCCAGTGAACAGGAGCCCATGTGGCAGAGTTCTGGGCCGCATGTCGTGCGCCTGTTGGGGTTCGCTCTGACGAACGCGGCGTACCTCACGTCCACGCTGGCGAAAAACCAAACGCTGCGCAAAGGCGTCACCATCGACTGCGCGGGGGACAAAAACGCTGGCCGCACGGGCTTATCGAACGAGCAGTGGTCGGTGGTGGCTACACCTCTGCGTCATTTGCTCCCGCGCCACGCGCATGCGGAACATGCTGATGGTGTGGGCGCCTTCGCGTGAGTTTTTGGAGCGTCGGCCGCCAGCGACCCTGCGGAAGGCGCTCGGGGAGTTCGACAAGAGAACGGAAGGCCCCATGGCCGAGGCGGAGCAGTTCGCGGCAGATTTTGGTTTCGCGATGCCTCCCGCCAGAGCGCGGCGGCGCCCCGCTCGAGGCCTGCGGGTTTTCCCCCACGACGTGATCCCGCGCCGCAGCGGCTCGCGAGGTTGCCCCAACGGCCTGGCCCGCGGGGTTGCCCCAACGGCTTCGCGAACCCGCCATCGGAATACGCGTCCTTGCCAGCTGCGGCGGCAGCGGCGCCCGGGAAAATCATTTTGCGCGCCCTTGCTCAAAGAGGCGGGGAGGAGGTGGATGAGGGAAAAGAAGCAGAAGATCTGGAGGAGACAGGGCAGGAGGCAGGGGGCGGAAGAGGGCATCAGACAGGGCAGGAAAGAGAAGGGCGATGAGGAGACAGGAACAGAGCCCCGGCACTCAGAGGGACCACGATGAGGCTTGCTTCCAGATTACTTCGGGGGCCTATCATGCGGGGACTGACCGTCGGCGTCCGTGATTGTTTTTCTTCGAAGCCTGCAAGGTCGGCAGCCTGGCCGCCGACGAAGGTAGGCGGCACCTGAGAGTAGCTGGTGCCCGGGGGCAGGTAGCTCTCCGTCGTTGTCGTCGCAGCGGCCGACCCGGCGTAGCTCGTGGGTGGCGCGGCGTAGATTGCTCGCGGAGCGTTGCTCAACAAGTCGGCACCGTGCGCGGTGGCTGGAATAGAGCGAACCTCGGCCTGCGCTGGGATGACCGTCGCGGGCGCGGAGAAGCCGGTGTGGGCCTCGCCCTGGACGTCGGCCGCTGCCTGCCCCGCCGCTGGCATGGTGGCGGAGGCCGCGGCGTAGGGCGGCGCCCGCGGCTGGTTCATGTCAGTGGGCGGCAGGGTGAGCGGCGGGGAGTAGCTCACACCTTAGAGGCCTCCTCCATGGGGTCCGAGGACTCAGATGGGCTCGGAAGATCGCGCCGCATCGCCGATGCATCGCCAATGCATCCGCGAAGCATTGGCGACCTCGGCGATGCATCGGCGACGTCGACATGGAGAGCATTGCCGACGCATTGGCGACGCGGTGCGATCCTCCGACCTCAGCTGCTCGGAGCCCATCTCGGAGGCCCTGACACCTGGGCGTTGGCGGCGAGCGCGGGGGGGGAAGTGAGAAGAGGTGGGCCTCCTCAGGAGGCTTGGAAGTCACCCTGCCCTCTGAGAAGTTGTCTGAGCCTCCCCTGAAGACACAGAAAATGCTTCAGAAGGCCGGGCGGGCTTCTGAGAGGCACCCGCCGCCTGATGAGAAGGCATTATCCCTCTCACATCCCCCCCTCGCCCGCCGCCGAGAACCTGGCCGTTGCGGGACGGGTGGTGGGCTCGGCTCCTCCTTCCTTGAACCCCGACGCTGCTAAAACCTTGCAGCATTGCGACTGGAGTTATGCTGCTCCCATTGTACTCAAGGACCAACTCCCAGACATCAGTCCGAGCACACCCAAAAAACCGAAACCGTGTCGAACGAGTATCGCCTCCCGGGGCCCGGCACGTGAAAACCCTCCAATTTCGGTACTTCCCTGGTGCTCAAAATTCTTTCTGATGATCAAGGCTAAAACCGGTTGTCGGGAGCGACTAAGGGGGGCTGTCCAAGAGGGGGGGGTGCAAATCATGACCGGCGGCATGTGCGCGGCCCAGCAGGAGGGCCAGGGACGTGATGAAATAATAAGAGGCGCCATGAAATCTGCGGGAATATCATGACCCCCGCCATGAGATCCACCCCCCCCCTTGTCATCACCCCCCTCTTTTCCGCCCCCGAGGTTGGCAAGCCAAAAGACTCGAGCCCCATACCCGCTCTTCCTGCCGCAACTCTTCAACAAGCCGGCTCGGCCTGCGCCGGCCGCAGGGCCGAGAACAGGGCAAACAAGCCTGGCGTTATGTCGGGCATGTCCCCCGACAGGCAGATTTTACAGGAAAAACAAAAATGTATTCAACCACATAAGCGAAAATGATCAGCAAACCATCGGAACCTCGTCCCCAGACTATCCTCGGCCACTTTCTCCGCAGCTCTCCTGTAGAGAGGGCCAGGCCTGATCAAAAATGGCCACGCCCGGACCCCGGGGCCCCGCCCCCCGCCCCGATCGGGAGCGGCCAAGACGGGGGTGTCCAAGAGGGGGGGGTGCAAATCATGACCATTGGCATGTGCCGTGCGCGGCCCAGCGGGGGGGCCAGGGACGTGATGAAATGAGAAGAGGCGCCATAAAATCTGGGGAAATATCGTGGCCCCCGCCATGATGTCCACCCCCCCATAGTCATCACCCCCCTCTCTGCCGCCCCCGACCCGAGAACCTGGGGCAGTGAAGCTGCCGGGCACGGACATGTACGGCGCATAGCCCGTCGGAGCCACGGTCGTGTTCGTGTCTGGGATGGCTCCGCCCAACTGCTGCGGCGGCAGCCGCGCCGCCTGAGTCGGGAACACCTCCGTCAGGGCGGCCGGCGGGGCGTGCGAGGGCGCCTCGGGCGGGGAGGCCGAACATTACCAGCCTCGAACGTATCCCTATCCCTAGCTGACACGCCAAGAGGTGATGACAATCTTAGGGATCCGCCCTCAAAAAATAACATAATCCCTAAGGTTGCCATCGTGATGAGGAGGTGCCCAGCCTAGGGATAGGGATATGTTCCAGGCTGGTAAGAACAGGGAGGGGGACCTGTACCTTAGTGGGCCCTGGAAGCGACAGGGCCGTTTTTTTCTACCCGTTCCGTTTGGCATTTTTTTTTGTTGCCGGTCCCGACGCCGTTTTTTTCTACCGGTTCCGTCGCCATTCTTGTACGGGCTCCCGCTCCGGTTCCACTCCTGGAGCCGTTTTTGTTGCCGTTTCCGGTCGCCTTTTTTTGCCGTTTCCATTTTCAAGGGACACTTCTTCGGAAACGGTGGAACAAAAACGGCCCTGCCGTTCCCGGGGCCCACTCAGACCTGTACTGACTCTCGCGTCTCGAAAAGCCAAGGACAGTTTTGAATACGTTCTGCCTCTGAGGGCCCTTCACGGGCACTGGGACCGTCCAGAAACCACGCGGGACGGAAACCCGGTTCTGGGGAACGGGTCCAGGCCTCCAGGGGCCCGCGCTGTGCAAGGAGACGGCGTCGGGGTTCGGGGAGAGAGGGATCTCCGCAAGATGGCATCAAAACGAGCGCAGCTTTCTACTCGCGGCCTTGACGGGCGCTGTGGGGGGGAAGGGAAGGGGGGACGGGAGGCGGCATAATGTAACGTAGCGTCCCCGCCACCCACCCACCCCCGCAGACTGTGGTGCCAGACGCACTGAAGCAGTGCCAGGGACGAACTGAAGGAAGGGCGTCACGTCATGCGGGGGGGGGAGGGTAGAGGGTGAAGGGGGGGGTAGGGGGGGGGGGGGAGGGGTCGTTACGTTATGGGGGAGGGGAAAAAAACACCCTCAACCAAACAGAAGGATCAGGGGACACGAGCTGACCGCATCACCGATCTGGGCCGGGCCGCTCCTGGGCCCGGGACCGGTGGTGCCTGCACCTACCTGGCCCGGGCACGAGGGCAGGGCGCGCACACACGCACACACGCACACACAAACATACGCACACACAAGTGTGTGTATATAATAATACATACATAAATAAATAAATTAATGAATTAATAAATGGATACATACAGCACTAAAATAAAGAAACAAACATATGCACACACACACACTAGAACCATCGCGCGCGCTTCGCTCGCGCACTAAGTTCTAGCTAGGCTTGCTTGATGGTCGAGCTCTTGGGGATCTCTGTTCCATGACACTTCTTCCCCAGGGCTTCCAACAACCACGACGACGGCCCAAGCGGCTTCCAAGACATCCTACGGTCCACCCACGACGGCTTAAGAGAGGCTCAAAAGGCACTTCGGGTGCCCTTCTATGCGCCGCGGCTGGACGTAGCCGGAATAAAGGGAGGAGAAGGGGAGGTGACGGGGTTCCCTGGGGGAGAAGGAAAAGGAGGATGAGGAGCTGGAGAGGGTTCAGGAGGCCGCAGAGGAGGAGGAGGAGGAGGAGGAGGAGGAGGAGGAACCAGAGGAGGATGAAGAGGAGGAGGAGGAGGAGGAGGAATTATGATATTCCCTTTTTTGCAAGCGTAGCGAGGCTGTCAGGCGATCTTTCAAAAAGACATGTTGGAATCCCCGTTTTTCACAAGTGCCCTCGGGGCCTCTCTCGGCGCTCTTTTGGGCCTCTTTTGGGAACCTCTTGTAGCTTCCTGGGGATCTCCTGGGTCGAAGATCTCGGGTTCTCGGCTCACGTTTCCGATTCTGGACCGCGGTTGGGGCCCTGTCGGGCCGTCTTGGATGTCATGTCTGCGCTTTTGAAACCTATTGGTCCGTCTTGGGGCGCTGTTGAAGAATATTGGGCCGTTTTTGTGCGATCCTCGGAGCCTCTTGGGGCGTTTTGCGGCGTCGGGAAGCGGAACAGGCAGAAACGCCAAAATTGTTCAACATTGTCTGAGAACGAACATGTGTTTTGGCCTCTTTGAGCTCCGTTGGGAGACCTCTTGGAAGCCTCTTTGGTATCTTGGGTGCTTCCTGGGCCGCCTGGGGGCCATCTTGGGCGCCTTGGACCATGTAGTGGCCATCGGCCCATCCCGTCACCGTGCCTGGGTTGTGAGTTAGAGGACTCTTGGAAGTTCGTTTGGAATTCGTGGGAGGCCGCCCGGGGGCCTCTCGAAGGCAGCTTTGGAGGCCTCTTGGGAGCGGTTTGGCGTGCTCTTGGGGCCTCCTTTAGGGCCTCCTTGGGGCCTCGTGGGGCCTCTTGGGGCGGAAAGCTCGAATCATCGGTTCGTGTTCTCCCCTTGGGCCCCTATTGGGGCCGTCTTGGGGCCCTCTTGAGCGATCTTGGGCGCCTCTTGGGCCGTCTTTGGGCGCTCTTGGGCCGTCTTGGGACTCACTTGCGGCGTTGTGGTGCGCTCTTTTAGTGCCTCTTGGACCGTCTTGAACGGACATCTGAGGCATCGTGGGCTGTCTTGGACCGTCGGAGGCAAGAAACAACGAGAATTCGAATAACCTTCAAAACCATAGAACACAACCTATTTTGTTCGCTTCCGAATGGCCTCGTGGGAGTCCTTGTGAGAGCATCTTGGCCGTCTTGAAGCCCTCGTGGGCTGTCTTCAAGCCATGAAACACTCTTGTGCGGCCTTGGGCTCTCTTGGAGCGCTCTTGGGCCATCTTGGACTCCTCTTGGACGTCTCTTGGGCGCTCTCGTCGCCCCCCTGCCCTCCTGTGGCGCGATCTGGCAACCCCGACGGGTCCAAAACGGCCGGAGGCGAAATCAGTGCACTCAGGGCAACCTGGGACCCCCTCCCCATTTAGATATCTGCTATACATACAACAAATGTGTGTATATATGTATGTGTATATATAGACACTCATATACATATGGATACATACATACCTCATATCCATATATATATGTATCAATTTATATAGATGTACTAATGGATATCACCCATTCATGTTGCATCGTCTTTGAGCTTTCAATTCGTTGTCTTACTGATCATCCACCTTCTTTTCATCCGCGCCTGCTCATCCATCGTTCCGGTTCGTCACTTACCCGCTTTCTCACGTTGGAATCGACTTGGGACCCGCTGGATTTGGGATCTGTTCAAATCTAATTAAATACAAATTCGATGTCACTAGAAATCCAATGGACACAGCTGGATCAGGGATCTGCTCACTTCGAATTGGCTTCTGATTCGGTTCACGTAAGAACCCACTTGGGGACAGCTGGATCTGGGATCTGCTCAGTCCGAACTAACTTGAAATAGATTCCAAAAGGAGTCACATTGGCATCAGCTCGATGGGGGATCTAATCACTTCCAGTTGACTTCTGACTCGTTGCAAATAAGAACCCACTCGGGGACAGCTGGATCTGGGATCTGCCCAGTCCGAACTAACTTGAAACTATGTTCCAAAAGGAATCGAGTTAATATAAGCTGGGCCTGTGATCTATCTAATCCGAAGTGCATTAAAAGTCGATGCCCCTTGGAGTCCAAAAAGATCCCCATTCCATTTCAATGGGAATCCTTGTGTAATCAGCTGAACCTGTGGTTTGCTCACTTCCAAGTATGTATACATTAATTTGGAAAATCCTGGAGGCCTCGCGCGGCGCGCAAACATTGTATCATCTAGTACACACGTCAGCTCCGAAAGCTATGTGTCAGCACTTGCGCGACGATGCTCTGGTGCCAGCCCGATGTAAATCAGACGGGATTCCGACGTAGTCCGAAGTGAGCCCGACGTAAACCCGACGTGGACCCGACGTAAATCGGGTCTCAAGTTGCCGCGCGAGGCCTCCAGGATATTCCTGATAATGCTTGGATTCAGATGGATCTGAAATGTGCCCACTTACACTTACATTCAAATCCAATCCAACCAGCATTCAATCATAATTGGCTGGGGACCTGCTCTCTTCCAAGTATTCTGTAAATATATATTACAACACGAATGCCTATATGTATATAAACATATATATATATATGTTATGTAGTCTATCTCGGCCTGTATTCGATTTACCTCGTTCAAGCTACAAATTTAAATTAAGTGCAAACTAGTTTTCGTATTAGATGTAGATTGGATCTATATATAAAGTCTAGCCCATCTAAACAGCAAGCTAGATTCGAATTAAATCCTCATGGGAATCTATCCTGGAACTAGCTGGATCTAGGATCTGCTCAATGCGAACTAGACTCGAACGCAATGCCATTCGGAATATATTCGGAATCAGCCGGAACTGGGATCTGCACAATGCCAATTCGATCCTGAGCAGATTTCCATAGGAATCCATTATGAATCAGCTGTGTCCAGAATCTGCCTAATTATGATAAAAGGGTTTCGTTGGCCCTAATCGGAACCAACTTGGAATCAGCTGCATCTGGGTTCCGCTCCAGCCCAATGATATTTCAAGTTTGTCCCAAGGGATGTCAACGTGTAGTCGGCTGGATCTGGAATGTGCCTCTCTCTCTTTCTCTCCCTCTGGCTCTGGAAAGACGGCCTCTCCCTCTGTCTGTTTTTTTTTTCTCTCTCTCTCTCTCTCTCTCTTTATTTATTTATATATATATAATGTATCCCTATATATATTTATATATATATATATATCTTGTTATCTGGCTCTGCCCGTGTCTATTTTATGGTATCTCCCTTTGTCTCTGTCTCTCTCTCTATATATATCGCTCTCTCTCTCTCTCCACATGTACATACATATATAAAAGCAAATGAATAAAACCATTCAGATATGTATCGTTATTTCTTCAGTTATTTATTTATCTCTCTCTCTCTCTCTTTCTCCATCCCTCTCTCTCTCTCTTTCTCTCCCGGTCTCTCTCTCTCTCTGTCCCAGACTCCCAACACTCCCCGTGAAAAACAGGGTATGCGATGTCAGTGGTGCGACAACCCGGTGTTTTCATTTTGATGTTTGGGAGCGTATGCGCCTGGAATGTATGCGCCCTCTCTCTCTCTCTCTCTCTCTCTCGCTTCATAGCGCCCAGGACGGACCGAGAGGCACCCAAGACCACCCCAAGCCGCCCCAGAGGGTGCCGAAAAGAGCCCCCAGAGGGCTCCAGGAGGGCCCAAGGGCCCCAAGGATGCCCCGAGAGAGCTCCGACGAGGCATCGAACGGCACAGGAAGGGCCCATGACAGCCCCAGACCCAGACATGCGACGTCCTGATTTTTTCAGGACGGCGTCCCCAGAAGTCCAGACCCCTTCCCCAGGGGGCTGGTTGTTCATCCTGTTGTTCATCCTGAATCCTTGTTTGACGGTCCCGAGGCCCGGCGAGGGCCCCCCGAGGCCGAAATTTGCCGAACACCTCCCGTCCTGATTTGTTTTATACGACGCGACCGCGTCTGGGGAGGGATCCAGGGGAGCCCCCGAGAACCCCCCAGGTGGCCCCCGAGACACAGCCCAAAAAGGCTGCATACGTGTGGCGGGATGGCTTCCCCGAGGGGGGGCCCGCCGTGGCTAGCGCCCTGCGGGCCCAGCCCCCCCCCAAAAAAGACCCCCCGTCGGAGAGGAGGCGTCAAAGCACGGATCACGGCCGGTCTCGGGTCGGCCAGCAAGCCAGAGGCGACGACAGGGCAGGGCTGAACCTAAACGGTGTTCTTCGTTTCCGTTCTGTTTTCGTTTTCCCTCGCTTTTGTCTCGAGTCCTCCTTTACCGCAGAACGAAGTCGAAACGAAAACGGCCCACGAAATCACCAAAAACACCGTTTAGGTCCAGCCCTGCGACAGGGGCGAACAGCCCAGGGGAGAGCAATACACGCATCCAGGGGTGCCCGTGGTCCATGTCCTCGGCCAAGGTTCCCCGGGCGCGTGCGTGCCATATGCCCGCCCCTGGACTCGTGGCCCCTGCCGTCGCCGACGAGGAAAGGTGGGGTCAGCGAATTGGCTCGCGTGGGTGGCTCTCCTGGCGCCCCCCCCCTTTACGGTGGACAAGCCTCCCTTTGGCAAACCACCCCTTTGGTGAAGACGGCCTTTGGACCGAAACCGAGGGACCTGGACCCGCGAAAAGGACGGCCACGACGCCCTCTCGCGAACCGAGCACGGCCAGATCGCCAATCGACGCGTCAGGGTAGGAGGAGGAGGATGGGGGAGGAGGAGGAGGAGGAGGAGGAGGAGGAGGAGGAGGAGGAGGAGGAGGAGGAGGAGGGGGAGGAGGGGGAGGAGGAGGAGGAGGAGGAGGCGGAGGAGGAGGCGGAGGAGGAGGAGGAGGAGGACCCCCCCCCTCGTTCGCCCGACCCGACCATCGCGCGCTCTGCTTTAACTTTATCTCGGCCCCGGAGAGCGCCGCGTACGTCGTCGTTCTGTACGGCGGAGCGCTCATGAGCCGCTCGGCCTGGGGCGCCGCCTGCAGCGGCCCCGCCTGCGCCGCCACCGGGGCGCGCGCCGCCGGCTGGGGGGGCACGATCACCTGACGGGGGGAACCCCGACATGACCGCGTCGGAAAAATCATAGGACGGGAAGCTTTTGGCCAACTTCGGCCTCGGGGGGCCCTCGCCGGGCCTCGGGACCGTCAACAAAACGACTCAGGATGAAAAACCGGTCCCGGGGAAAGGGTCGGGACTTCCACGGACCCCGCATTGAACAAATCAGGACGTCGCATGTCTGGGAACACTTCGCGTCCTGTCCTCCTCCCTGCCCCTCTGCACCCCTTTCGGCTCATGCCCCCCCTGCCGCCCCCGCTCTCCACTGGCACGGCGAAGTCCCAACGCTTAGGGGGCCACATGCGAACCCTACCCCTACCCCCCACGATTTCTGAGGGGGAGGGTGGGGTCCACTGCGCTCGGGAGCTCCCGAGCGCAGTGAACCCCACCCTAACTCTGTGGCCCCCTAACGCTGCCCTTCGGCGGCGAGCCCGGGGGGGAGGAGCGCCAAGGGGGCGGGCCCTCTCGGAGGGGCTCGGAAGTGCCCGGGCCTTCTGGCAAGCTCTCCCGGGGCCTCCTCCCCCGGAGGCGCCGAACAGCCTCCCAGCAGCCTAGGCGCGGGGGCCTCCGAGAGGCCCCGCGGCCCCCTATGCCTGCGAAGGCCTCCTGTTCCTGCTCCTGCTCCTGCTCCTGCTCCTCGTCCTCCCTCCTCCTCCTCCTCCTCCTCCTCCTCCTCCTCCCTCCTCCTCCTCCTCC